ATAACAGCTTCTGACAGTATGTAAAGCACTCGGCTTTTATCATTTAAACAATGTTTTATTTGATCTGTTATTTAAAAAAATAACAGATAAAAACTGTAAAATATTAATATAACATTCTGTTTGTAATGTACCGTCTTCTTCTACCTCTTTAGCCCACTGCTTACGTATGTGCAGCTGCAGCAGAACTGACTATCCTTCAATCATCCTATATTCTAGAAAATGGAATGCTGTTTCTTCTCTTGTTTCTGCTTGTCATGTTTAGGACTGCCCTCGTGTGTTTTTTGTAAAAACTGCACCTATCCGTGTCAATTATAAATGTTTAAACGTGCCTAATGACTTGCTCACATAGTGCACAGACCAGCGAGGCCGCCCAACAGGCTAGTATATCTCGGCCTTTATAAAGTATCTCTGAAATGAAGGAAAAATACTTCTTCACTTCCTGTTTAAGTGTGGAAATGCATCTGTGTTCACAGTCACCCTGGTGAAGGAGTGATTCAACTCATCTCTGTTGCACGATCCAGTAGTCTGGGCATCACCATTGGGGGAGGCTCCAACAGGCCAGACGGTCCTGCTGTGTTCATCCAGGAGGTGCTCTCTGGAGGAGACTGTCACAGGGTAAGACATTAGAGTAACTGCCGCAAAGACACACAAAAGGTAAAGCTTCAGAACTCCAGACAAATGCATCTAAAAAAAAGGAAAATCTAGAAAAACTGACAGAGACATTTTCTAACAGAGAAACCCAAATGTTGTATAGATTCGTGACAGACAAAAAAGGTAAATCTAAGCATAGCTGATAAGGATAGATTGGATGGATTAATGAGAGTTGAGATGCCCACCACCCCCACCCTTAACACTGGTGGTGGATGATTCCCCGGTAGAGAATGAGTTAGCAGACCTTACCCTGCCCTGGTGCGCTCTGCCCAGTGTCTAATCCAGAGACCAAAGCAAGAGGGAGAGCGAGGCAGGTAAGGCAGAGTTGGTAGAAGACACCCTGCTCTGGAGCAAAAAGAATGTCTGTAAGTGGAACTGAACCTTTATCACCTGTCTCTGTTGGGGAGGTTGGGGATCTGATATGCTACTGTGCATGTTGATGGCAAATTTAACGGCAGACATTTGATAATGGATGTGCACAGCATTTTCCTCTGCTAGAACTTTTGCACTACTGTCAAGAGAATATTTAGAGGGCGTAACATGTTATGAATTAAAGTTGAATACTGAACTGAACTTACGTGAATGCAGGGGTGGATTTAGGAAATTTGGGGCCCTAGGCAAAGACAGGCAGGGGGCCCTCTGAATGGAGAAGACAACACATAAAACAGACCCATTATACAGATACAGGAATTTTGTCCCTCTCTTTTTGTCCCTTTTGTTGTTTTTCTTTCTATGTTTTGTTCTCAAAAGGAATGAAAGATTTTTTCCAAGCACTAAGCTCACTTAGCTGATTGCTCCTTCCTGTGTTTCCAAAAAGGTCAAAGTAAATAACCCAGTCCTTCTTTTCACTGTAGACAAGCCATGATCTGCTTNCAAAGTAAATAACCCAGTCCTTCTTTTCACTGTAGACAAGCCATGATCTGCTTATCTGTTCTCCATTTTTCATTTGGATGAAAGAATAGCTGCATGAATCATGACAGCAGACAAGATAGAGGAGAGCAGGAGGCGGGGTTACCAATGTACTTGCTCTGGCGAGCAGAGTTCGCCGCTTTTTTATGGAATTTTATCAAAAGCATAATGTGCACAAATACGGAATAGTTGTATTAACCATACACTTAAATGGAGTTTTATGGGGACCCCAGGAACTTGGGACCCTAGGCAACTGCCTAGTATTACCTAATGGAAAATCCCCCTCCTTCTCATCATCAGGGTTGAGATGAGGCAGACTGTCCTTTGGATTTACTGGTTTAAAGATAATGTTCGAAATGAGAGATAGGAGGGAAACATAAGTCAGATCAAAAATACTGTCACACTTTCATTTCACATGTATTATATTTAAATGTTCTTATTTCATTGCATTATCTGTAAAGCCCAATACAAATAAAAGTTGTAATTTAGAATTATTATTTTTATTATTATTATTGTTGTTGTTGTACCTCATACTAATATAAGACTGACTGCCTCAGTACAGTTGCTATCTTCAGGTGGAGACCAAAGAGCAAAGCACATCTACCTGCTGGCCAACTTCCTAGTACTTTGTGTCTTGTCTAGCATTTTTTATTCAATATAATTCTGTTTATTTAATATAGCGCCAATTCACATGGCACTTCAAGGCACTTTACAATTCACCAGATCATCGAGTCAAAGTTTTCTATCTAAGGAAAACCAGTTGATTGCATCAACTTATTGACTCTTTAGCAATCCCTCACACTGAGCATGCTTGTAGCGACAGTGGAGAGGAAAAACTCAGTTTTAACAGGAAGAAACCTCCAGCAGAACCAGGCTCAGTGTGAGAGGCCATCTGCTGAGGCCGACTGGGGTTTAAGGAGACCAAAGCAGAGATACAAAAGGCAACTGTAAAAGGTGGCCCCGTCCAGGAAACACACAGCCAGGCAGACGAGCTCCGAGCCAGCTCCCATGCCAGAGGACGAAGAGAGCACATCCAGACAGTCACAGTCAGAGAAACAGGACTACACTGAAAAACAGGCCGATCTCCAAAATTTATAAACAAAGGTGTTGATGGCAGCAGCACAGCTGATATTTCTCTCCAGGATGGAATCACAGCCAAACAGGAACAGGCAAGGCAAAAATACTATGAGAAAAAGGAAAAGCAGCATAACGTTAGAGATTGAGTGTAAACTGTATATGTTCTCCAAACATCCTTGAATTATTTGAAATAAATGAACAGTTAAATTAAAAGCTTGAAGGCTAGTGTGGGGCTCTCCAGGACATGTTTTATCCCTTTTCTCGCTAGCCTCACCCTCTCTGTTTATGTGGAATTATCTGTAGTGAACCCGAGGAAAACAATATAGGAGTGTACTGATGTTTAAAAAATTAACTTTATTCTTGCACAGCCGTTTGTTTCTGCACACAAATCCTTTGTGAAACACCGTAAAGCTATGGATAGAAACAAAAGGTTAAAAAAAACAGCTCTTACAAATACTTTTTTCCATGAAATAGTCAAAAAGATGCCAACGTCTGAATCAAGGGTAGCTTAAACATTAGCTTACAAAATAAACAATAATTTACATAATCAAAACACACATAACTCCACATAGAACTTTTTCCCACGTTTAGCCAGGTGCCTAATAAATGTATGGGTAAATCTTTAAAGTTTTCAAGTATTTTTTTATATCCTTTACAGACCCGTGTATCTGCTCCGTGTAAAGTACNTAAACTGTATATGTTCTCCAAACATCCTTGAATTATTTGAAATAAATGAACAGTTAAATTAAAAGCTTGAAGGCTAGTGTGGGGCTCTCCAGGACATGTTTTATCCCTTTTCTCGCTAGCCTCACCCTCTCTGTTTATGTGGAATTATCTGTAGTGAACCCGAGGAAAACAATATAGGAGTGTACTGATGTTTAAAAAATTAACTTTATTCTTGCACAGCCGTTTGTTTCTGCACACAAATCCTTTGTGAAACACCGTAAAGCTATGGATAGAAACAAAAGGTTAAAAAAAACAGCTCTTACAAATACTTTTTTCCATGAAATAGTCAAAAAGATGCCAACGTCTGAATCAAGGGTAGCTTAAACATTAGCTTACAAAATAAACAATAATTTACATAATCAAAACACACATAACTCCACATAGAACTTTTTCCCACGTTTAGCCAGGTGCCTAATAAATGTATGGGTAAATCTTTAAAGTTTTCAAGTATTTTTTTATATCCTTTACAGACCCGTGTATCTGCTCCGTGTAAAGTACACCTTTTTTTTTTTTTTTTTATTAGATAAAAGCATCTTACAATAAAAATGGATACAAAAAAAAACAGTCACTAAAATGTCATTAAACACCTTTTTTTAAGAGTTCTTTCCATTAAGTCATTTTGACGGTGTTCCTCATGGGTGATGCTTAGTCTGGTGTGGTTTTCCTGTAGACGGGATCCCACAGTAGATCTGTTAACGACAGTCCTTTTCTGCTGTTATACTGTATAGTTTTGCTTGTGGAAGCTGATACCATTGGCAGGGAATTCTAGCTGCATCCCTTGACCATTGACATTGCAGCAACTGGTAAAGGCTGTATGACTAAGATTAATGCACTGCAGCTATGAGGGGCCACTTGTTGGAAGGATGATTCTTTTTCTACTATTGCAGAGTGAAGAGACACTCTGGGGGGGTATAGGAGAAAGATGGAGTGCATTTGCAGACTGTTGAGTCATGCTCAGGTCAAAGGGTGCTTCTTCTGACACTTGGGATTTCTCCATAAAATGGATGTTTAGCTTTAGGAAGGCAGCTCCGCATACTTAATGGCTAGAATTGTAATTGCCGTCCATCACACACCCAGCCTTAGATCAGAGTGCTTTTTTTTACAATCAATACAGTGCGCACATTGATGAAACAACTTAAGGCTATATAAAATCATTGACCACAACCTGAGCCATTAACATAGTAGTAAGTGTAAAGCTTCCCAAGATCACAAAGTAGAAGAAGATGATTGACTGTTAACATGATCAGTTTCAGCACAAAAGCTCACGCTCCTCCTGGATGAGCATGAGGCAACGGTAGACATTGGCTGTGTCCGAATGTCCACCCTAAGCACTGTATACAGTAGGGCCCTATGAAGCTCTGTGTAGAGTGCTATATAGTGTTTACACCATTTCAGATGAGTGGCGAACATCTAGTGGATGAAAAAGTAGTGGACTCAAAATCTCCTACAG